CCAGTGACATATTATAATCATTGTATAAGGTATGTATGGTCCTCGTGCAAAGAAGCAAAAGACCAACAAGCAATTGGTAGAGAATAATTTTGATGGTGCTATTGCTCTCACTATAACAATTCCTTCTCCGGCAGCTTCCCAGATGAGCAATATGTCCAATTCCAACAAATCTATCAAATTTATTGGAGGTCGTGATAAGGCCATAAAAATAAAAGGCCAAAAGGTATATGCTATTAGGGTTGCTAACTCCTCCTGCGACTTTATTTTAAAGTGTATCTTTTAAGCTTGAAATTTTGATTAACGCAGATTTCTCCTGGCGAGCATGGTTCTGGAACTATGTGGTCACTATTTGAGGATCAGGTATTTTATTTGTCATCTTTCTTAGCATTGTTATATTGTAAGTTGTTCTGTGAGTTTCTAATTATTGTTCACCATTCAGGCGCTCGTTGTCCTGGTGCATGACATGGGCCCTAACTGGGAGCTCGTTAGTGATGCAATGAACAGCACTCTTAAAATTAAGGTAACTGCTTGCTGTTTTGAAAATCTTGGGATTCCTTGTAAATTTCACACCGAGTGAAAGAGCTATACATTATTTTATTATACAGTTTGTTTCTATTCTAGTTAACTGTTTTATTGAATATTGTTGATTAATATATTACTTTCTCATGTTAATGAACATTTGGGATTCGTTGCTGGCTTGTTGATTGTCCATTGTTTTATCCGCATTTATTTATTTTCCAGTGTATATATCGTAAACCGAGTGAATGCAAGGAGCGGCATAAGATTCTGATGGATAAGACTGCAAGTGATGGGGCGGATAGTGCTGAAGACTCAGGGACTTCTCAGTCTTATCCATCCCCTTTACCTGGCATCCCGAAGGTTGTTCATTAGCTCTGAGACGCTGAATAAAGCGCCTTTCTTAGACATTGAAATACTCATACTATGTTTTTTATATTCAGGGAAGTGCAAGAAAGTTGTTTCAGCGATTGCTAGGGCTAATGGAGGAAGATACCCTGAAGTCCCATTTTGAGAAGATTTGTTCGATTGGGAAGAAGTTACACTATAGAAAGACACAGGTTGGTCACCTAGTACTTTATTACTGTTTACAAGCTTGTAATTTGAAACTACCAGAATTTATTTCTCCATTTTTTCTGGTCGTATTTCAACCGTTTTCTATCAATAGTGATAGTTCAAGCTTGATTAAATGGGTGATGTAGCTAGTTTTTGAGTCTCTTATTATAACAATGCTCGAGGGGTCTTAACTTATAGTTCCGAAGAGTGTATTCAGGGTTACTTTTTCACGACATTAGGTTTTTAAGTTGCGCTAACATTTGCTTAAGTCATTAGGAACCTTTACACTGTAGTTGGAATTTTAAATCTTCTAAAGCCTAATTTTGTTTCTTGTTGCTGCTTCTTTCTGTTTGCCACTGTTTCATCGATCTTCAAGAATGATGGTCAGGATCCCAAGCAGATAGTACCAGTTCACAATTCGCAAGTCATGGCTCTTTCTCAAGTATTCCCAAATAATCTGAATGGATATGTTCTAACGTAAGTTTTGGTGTTACCATAAATAACTATATTTCCTGCTTACTACTTCCGCGATTCTAATATCTTGCTCTCTCCGGATGTAGGCCCCTTGATCTCTGTGATACGTCAACTACAGGTCAAGATTTGTTTTCACTTGAAAATCCAATTTCGCATCCGGGTCTTCCAATGTTAAATTAAGGGACGCCAGTTCTCCCTACTTCAGGAGCAAACCCATCCACTCATGGATCTTCTGGTGTGGTTCCCGGCAACAATTTACCAACCACACATGGTCTACACCATGCTTCTGCTAGGTGGACCTGTAATGAATGGTTTGTTTTGGTAAAATTCACACGTTTTGAGCATCTCCGCTTAATGTGCTCAAGGTTTAGTACTTCTTTTGGTTGGTGATATTTCTTTCCTTTCAGGGATGGTAGATTCAACGTTTCTAGAGGGCCTTTGTCCCTTGATGAACAACATCGACTCCAACAGTCTAATCAGATGTCATCCGGTAGGAACCTGCAGCAGCCTTCTTTATCAACTCCAGGAACTGTCTCAGGATCTGGACACCGCATGGCTCCTGATGCAAATACCATGGGAGTAAGTGGAATGAACAGCGGAGCACCCATGTCGAGGCCTGGTCTTAAGCAATTGGCTCAGCAGCAATGCCAAATACTGGTAGCATGCTGTCATCTGGTGTAGTGGGAATTCCAAACGCTGGTAATATTCATTCTGGAGGAGGAGCTTCTAAAGGAAACTCCATGTCCAGGCGGCCTCGTGAAGCTATTCAGCATATGATTCGAGTAAGTTATTTGGTTTTTTGTTGCTGCTGTGGTAACTAATTCATCTGGCTCTTTGGATTAGTTTGTAGAGGTTCAGCGCTTCTGATTTGGCCGGTCGATTGACATTTTTACTCTATTTGACATCATTACGAACAATCCAGGAAAAATGAAAACTCATATGCGTGTGTTTCAGATGTAGGCTGCTCAAGGGAACAGCCAGGGGATCCCAGCATTCAGTAGTTTGAGTTCTGGATTTATCAACAACAAGATAACTCATGTTCAGGCGTACCCAGGCCATCTTTCCCAGCAGCATCAGATGCCACATCAATCGCATGTGCTTGGCAATTCGCAGCATCCTCATCTCCAGAGCCCAAGCCCAAGTCATGCCACTAGGGTACAGCAGGACGGATTTTCTATCCGCCAAAGGCTAATGCACCAGAGGTATGTGCAGCAACAGCAGCAGCTTGCGTCATCTGGTACTATGATGCCACATGGACAACAACAACAAAAATCTCAGGGGACTTCTGTTTCTTCTTCAACACAAAACAGTCAACAGACTCAACCACCCGTTTCGCCCAGCCATTACCTCCCCCAGTGTCGACGTCTCCTAATATTAATGCTATGACACAACAAAACCCTCAAAAATCTCAGCCCGCTTCATGCCCTGGCTAGGAATCCTCAGTCTGGTGCTTCTGGAGTGAACAATTAAGCTGGAAAAAAACGGCAGAGACAACTCCAGCAGCGGTATGCAAGAGAACACCCACACCAGCGGCAGCCATCACAAGGTCAACAGCAGAATAAACAATCGAAGGGGACGGGTAAAGGAAATATGATCCATCAGAACATTACTCTTGATCAGTCACACTTGAATGGTCTCTCCATGTCCCCCGGAAATCAGGCTACCGAAAAAGGAGAGGCAATGGTTCCAGTTAGGCCTGATCGGGAGTCTAATGTGGGGATTGCCACGAGCACGCATCTGCAGTCTAAACCTTTTGCTCCATCACAGTCTTCAAATCATTCACAGCAATTGCCGAAATCATTTTCTGGAGCTACGTCTCCGTCCCAAGAGCAACAGATACAGTTACCTTCAGACAATAGCATCCAAGGCCAGAACTCACCTGCAGCCTCAAATAACATCTTATCCCCCTCTAGCCCTTCAATTGCACCAGCAGTTGGACCTTCCAACCATCAGCGTTTGTTGTTACACCAGAAGCAGCGTAATCAAGTGCAATCAACAACTCAGCGAATTGCTCATCAGAATCATATAGAGAAATCTGATTTATCGAGGAAGTCCCAAGCTGAATGTGTGACACGTGTTCCTCAGTCTGTCACCAATATGGCACAAACAGATAATATGAGAACGAGAAAGGGTATGCCTCAAGTGACTAATGATTCGAAAAACATAAAAGCAGTTGGTTCTACTGCTGTACCTTCTCCAAATGGATTAGAACCTCAAACTAGTGCCGCCTCTGTGCAAAGCGCTGCTCCGAAAGTACTAAAGAGTTCTAATACAGACTCAGTTGGTAGTGATCCAGTAACACCACCGAAGCAAGGACTAGCGCATGAGCATATTCCTGTTGAGGAGCTCAAAGGCGTGATAGAGAGACAACAATCTCTACCAACAGTAGAGAAGAGACCAGAGTTGCCAGAGCAGCTGACTGTACAAAATCAGAAACGTCTTGCTTCTGATCAGCAGTCTCCACAATTAGAAGAAGCACAAGAACTATCATCTTCCAAGCCTCCTGATATAAAAGTGGAGTGAGAGGCGCGTCTGATGAAACCTAGAACTTGGAGTAGCTGTACATCTTGCAAAGGGTTATGCTAGCCCTTACGGACAACATCATCAAGTGGGCGGTCTTTATATTTTGCTGATATGAGATGATGTATAACTTAACATTGGTTTGATCAAGCCAAAGTAAATTCTGAATTCTGCAGATTGAGTTTGCAGAGTTGGATGCGGGCAGAGGAAGATAAATGGGAGGGAAATAAAGTGGATAGATAGATTGATGATGGTCCTTTATTTATATATCTTTTCTTCACAAGAGAGAAAGGTGTATTGCATGTAAATTACCACTGCATCATAGAGAGAAGTTATTTTCTTCTTATTGTTCTTCCTGTCTGTAGGTTTGGGAGAGTGGAAACAGTTTATAATGCTTTGTATAGAAGTCTCTGCTCTTCTATTCACTTTTTCTTTTGTTTCCTCATCTTGGGGCATATATTTTTATGTACCCTTTTTCCTTTCTTTTTGTCCCCTTCTAATTTCTACTCTTGTAAGTTTAGGTTAGTTTAATTGAATGTATTATTGTTATTCTCTTCGTGGTTAAAAATGAGAAAACCACAAAAAAGACCATATCCTTTCCAGTCCCCACAAAATGTTCATGGGATTAGAAAAAAATTGCATCTTCTGTTTTGTTAAATAGTGGGTAATGCCATCGCATGAAACGATCGGAAATTTATCAAGAATCTTAAGAAAGTTTTTGAACATGAAAAATGTTCATGCGCATCTCTGAAAAAGTTTACGAACATGAAAAACAAGCTTTGCACATAGAAAAATGTTTTTGACACTAGATTACATTGTTAACTATGTTACATCTCTGAAATGAGAAAGATGAAGTAGAAGAATAACAACAATGATTGTCATAATCATTTCACTTTATTGGTTAAACCAACCTCTCATGAAAAGGATTAGAACTTTTAGAAGGAATCAAAGGCAGTACTGAGAAACCGAAAGAGCTGAGTTTGAGAACTCTGAATCAATCTAAGGCGTTTGATCTCCATATCTTTACGCAGCTTCACTGTCTCTTTAGCAAACTCCATCCTCTTCTTCTCCATAACCATCATTCGCTCAGCGAAAGACCTGATCTCAGAAGCTACAGCTCTCAATGCTCCTTTCCTCCTCCTCCTCCTCTCACCACCACCATCATTCCTAATCCTATTTGATCTCTCCTTATGTCCCCACTGCAACAACTCTCCACCAACTCCCATGAATCTAATAACTATGTGAATTGATACTCCTCGATTTTTTCTTCTGACTCTCATCTTCTTCGTCTTCTTCATATTGTTAGTGATTACTCGGAGGCAGGCGTGTGAGAGGACGAGAAAAGATAGGGGCTGGATTGCTATCTAACTCCTCCATCTGATAATAGAAAGGCCATATCAAGATAGGTCCCATGCTCTGCCTCTCCGCTTTGAATCTTTTCCGCAACTTCTCCATCTTGTGCTGACACTGTGTTGCTGACCTGTCAACGCCGGAGCGAGCGGAGACAGCGACGGAGATCTCTTCCCATTGGTTTGATCTCAGAGGACCTCGACCAACGGTGTACCATTTTTCCTTGTATGAGTCGATTATGAGGAGAGTCTCTTCTTCGCTCCATAGCACCGCTTGGGTTTTTCTGGCCAAGGCGGAGGTTGATGCGGCTAAGGCCACCACCTTTGTTTGCGGTGGGAGAGTCGCCGTGGAGTTCGAGGGTGGTCGAGTTGATTTTGATGTGGCAGAGTAGCAGAAGGATTAGGGAATCAGAAGGTGTCGGCGAAGGCGTCGCCATGTGGCAAGGAGAGAAAGCACAACAACAATTACTTCGGCTTTTTGTTGTTGTGAGTTTTTAACTCGAAACTCAGATCATTGGTCTTTTGTCTGCGCATTGACTTTTGTTGTTAACCGATGAAATTCGAGACTGATCCAAACCACAATTGGTTTGAATCAAACTGAACCATCTACATCTAATTTGGTTTTATTTGACTAAAGCCATAACTTGGAAAACCTCGGATATGAGATTCAAAGATATACATAAAGAACCTTACCTGACATTTGGTGGCCCAGAGCAAAAAAAAAAATTGACCCATAAAATTACACTTAATTAAGAAGCATTCAGCAGTCAAGATTATTGTTGGTCCTTAGGCACATGCTTGATCATCATGTATCCAGACACGGCCCTGCAATCGAGATTATGTTGGTCCTCAGACACATGCTTGATCAGCATGTATCCAGACACGGCCCTATATATATATTTCAACTTGGAAAATTCTGCAGTGTCTTTGTCAGCACGATCGCATTCTCTGCATTTAATACTGATGCACACACATAGATCACAAGTGTCGTTCACATTGGAGAGGTTATTGAAACTTTGTTCAAATTTTTATTTTCAAAGTCTCTGCAATTGCAGTGTTTTTATTTTGGTTTTTATTTACAGCTTTCGGTCTAAACTTTAGCGTTTACATCTTAATTTTTTGTTCTTTAAAAATAACTAATACATTATTTTAAAATAATACCATAAAATAGTAATAAAATATTTTGAAGTTACAATTAGAATATATCAAAACGTATTGACTATTATTTACAACATATACCATAACATGTTTTTAATTATTTAATTTTTGAGAACTTATATTATACTAGAACATAAATCATAGATATCTATAAATGGAACAAAATTACAAATATTTAGGATTTTGAGACTATTATAGAATTTTATGATAGAAATAAATTTAAAATTATAAAACTTGAATGATCTTTTTCTTTTTCAAGATTAAATTTAAATGATATTAACATAGATATATAACATATTTTAATAGGGATATTCATTAAATGAAGTTTCTAACAAATGGTTTTCTGATTATCAACACTTTTTATAAAAAAAACTAAGGGGGATTTGCCAAATATGACTCAAAACTTGATTTTAAAGCAAAAGTGTACCCAAACTCAAATCAAATGCAAAAGTAACTCAAAAGGCTAGTGAAATTACAAACATCTCTTCATGACCAAACAAAAAAATAGTATTGTAGTTTACTCTTATAATCTTGCGAGTGAGAAGACTTACATGAGTTCTCATGCTGTAGATCTTAAAAATAATTTAGAAATTTAAGAAAAAAATATTTTGGTTACTAAAAAATCCTAATCATGTAATTATTGACATTTATAAATAATATAAATATAGATTTAATAAAACTGAACAGTTTTCAAGACAGATGAGTGAATATAAGTTTGTCATGATATTGTTTGGTTTAGGGTTTGGTAACTTTTTTTTTAACACCAGGGTTTGGTAACTATGTTGTAGTATTGTATGTGTTTTTAGGGTTAGATTGTAGAATCTTAATATTTTTTTTTAAAAAGTAAATTTTAGCTATATGTGTTTAGTTTTATGTAGATTAAACACTTTATAAGTTTAATTTAGTTTGATAAATTTTTTGTATGTGATTTAGTTATATATATATTTGACCTCTTTGATTTTCGGATTTTGGAAGAGTTATGCAGACTTAGTAACAGTTTCTTTCTCAAAATTTAGGTTTCCCGCTTAAAATTAAGTCTTCCAATGTCTTCTAAAGTCTTCCACGGCAAGTCTTCTAAAGTTTTCCACAAAAAGTTTTCTAGTGTATTAGTTCTTAAAATAATTTATAAATTTCATAAAAAATATTTTGACAGGGGAAAAATCATAATCATCTTATTATAGACTTTTGTAAGTGATATAAATTTAGACTTAATAAAACTGAATTGTTTTCAACATAGATGAGTGAATGTAAGTTATTCATGATATTCTTTGGTTTATGGTTTGCTAACTATGTTGTAGTATTGTATATGTTTTTAGAGTTAGATAGTGGAATCTTAACATTTTTTAAGAAAACGTAAATTTTAGCTATATGTGTTTAGTTTTGTGTAGATTAAACATTTTATAAATTTAATTTAAATTTAAATTAAGTTTAATAAAGTATTTGTATGTGATTTAGTTATATATATATATATATATATATATATATATATATATATATATATATATTTTTTATTTTGGGTTTCAGAAGACTTATGAAGAGTGAAGAAGACTTACGAAGACTTAAGAAGACTTACTGGAAAGTCTGGCAAACCGGAGCAAACCCTAATTTTTACCTTCAATTTGAATAAAACCAGAAATAATTACATCAAACGTAACCAAGATACTAACCAGACATATAAATACAATTTTCACACTTTGTGGTAAAAAAGACGGAATCATAACTGATATCTATCGGAGGCGATTTCATAGGCAATTTCCGGCGAATCTCGTTTCTCCGTCGTTCTCACCGCCGGTAAGCTACTTTCCGGTGAATCTCATTTATCCTTCATGGGTGTAGAGTATCTTAGTAGGCTAAACTAACCCGAGTTTTTTATTTGCAGATCTGAAATCGTTTGTGTTTCGGTTTTCCGCCTCCGCAGCCGGTAAGCTCTTCCTCTTTGCTGTCGAGTCTATATTTTTTGACACTATGTGGACTTCCTTTTCCATGTCGAGTTTTTCAGATCTGTAACAACTTGTCTTCAACACCCATAACTTCATTGCTTTGGACTATAAACTTCATCGGTTCCTAGTGTAAGTTCATCCATTTGTTCGATTTTAATCGTTTTATGTATTAGGATTAACATAATTTTCAGATATGTATAGGATTATTTGTAATCAACTGGAAGACTTAAGTAAACTTTGGAAGACATACTTGAAGACCTTAAACATCGGAAGACCTCAGAAGACCTCGGAAGACATACTAAAAGTCTTCCAGAGTCAAAACTTTGGAAGACTTACTAGAAGACTTTAAGTATGTCTTCCGAGGTCTTCCGAGGTATTCGAAGGTCTTCCAAATTCTTCTTAAGTCTTCCGAGGTATTCCAGTATGTATTCTTAAGTCTTCTTAAATCTTCTTAAGTCTTCCAGTACTAATCGTTAGTTTATTTCTCTTTTTTTTTTGTGTTTGAGATGTTGGTTTTTAATTGTTTTACAGAATGGGAATGAATTTACCAGAACTATCGTAGAGAGTATTTACCTTAGGGGAGGAGCCACATCCAGTGAAAAGCATAAACTATCATACTGATGACAAGAAGTTGTTTACGGCTGTAAAGGAAGCTCTTCATGATGATGAGTGGGAGGAGCTGAAATAGTCAAGGTTGGGTGTGTTCATCAAGTTCATGGAGCTTTCTTTTGATTGGGTATCAAGGCTGGTTCACTTTATGTTGCGTTACCAGCTTGACATCAAGAAGAAGTATGAGTTTTGGTGTCTTGTTGGTCCAGAACCGGTGAGGTATTCACTGATAGAGTTTGAATACCTCACTGGTCTGAACTGCGACTACATTGATTACTTGGAAATCCGAAGACTGAGGTTATGGATGAGATAGCTATTTTCTGGCAGAAGATGGGTGTTGATGTCGAAACTGGTCTAAGTGCTGAAGAAATAATAGCAGCATGTAAAAAATGCCAAGAGTGGTCTCGGGATGATTCGCATGCGGCTGGGATACCTAGCCATCTATGCTGGCTACATTGAAGGGAGAAAGAGCTCATCCGCTACACGGACTAGTCTTGTAAGGCTAGTGATGGATTTAGATGAATTTGAGAATTATCCATGGGGCAGAGTGGCGTTTAAGGTGCTGGACTCTTTGAGGAATAAAAATATTACAAAGGGTTATACAGTTGATGGTTTTATACAAGTTCCCCAAGCGTGGGTCTACTTCGCTCTGCCAGATTTAGCAGCTCAGAAGGTAATTCCTTTACGAAACAAACCGAGTATACCTTTACTGGCTTACAAGGGTGGCACAGGACGGAAATTTTTTAAAGATGGTATCAGCATTCAGGTAATTATAATTATTCTCAAATAGTATGATATTGATTATTCTCTCACATATCTTAATTGAGTTAATTTATTAACTGTAGACTCGCGTGAAAAACTACATTGCAAAGGCCTTTGATGAAATGTTCCCGAAATGGGACGATGACGTATACGATACTAAGGCTGACAACATAGTGAAGGTCATGTTTGAGGGAAAAGGTCATTCGAAGTGAACCATGGATTGTTGGCCAAACGCTGGTACTAACCCGTGGACCAATCCAAAGATTCTGCATGTGAATTTTGTGAAAGGAGAATAAGGAAGACCTCAGAAGAGAGCTCATATAGAGGCTCGTACAGAGGCTCGTACAGATGATGCTTTTGGTCCTTCAGTTGCTTCTGCTTCTGGCAGTTGGGTTGAGAAAGAAGATATCACAAAAGGCTTAAAGGCCCTCAAGAAAGTTATGACTGATGGGATTGGGCAGTGCTTGAAGGAGATAAAGGTTCTTGGGGACAGGATGGACGTTGTGGAGATGATAGTGGGAATCACTAAAAAGCGAGTGAATCAAATGATCTCCAGCTCACTATTCCAGGCTCGCCTAAACGTGGGCCCGAACTTGGGGTTAGTACCCAACCCTCTCCCAAAATCACAATGAAGAAAAAGAATAGTTTTAGAAACCAAAAGAGTTGAAAGTTGTATGTCTTCCATTGGTTAATGACAATTGTGGATCTTGTTTTTATGGATCTTTGGTTAATGAAAATTTTGTTTGGATTTTGTTTTTATGGATTTTGTTTCTACTGATAGGTTAATGCTATATATTATGTATTGCAGAGTGAGAGTGTGAACGGGGCAAAAGCAAGAACTGGTAACAACATAAAGCAGGAAGTGGGACAAGATGACATCCAAGATCCCAAAGTGAAGGAGAGATCTTCGAAAGAGGATAACAGTTTTTCAAAAGATCTGAACCAGGATGAGAGTTCTTCCAAAGAGC